AATTTCCTTGATGGTTGAAAGGAAAATCCGGGACACCTGAAGAAATTAAAATGTTAAAAAATATCCAAGATGAGTCACGGTCTAGGAAAAAATATAGACAGATATAATTAATAAAATACAGGTCAATGAAGTGCATTATAAATAGGCAAATCAAATGTATTAAGTAGTTTTTTTAAGGAGGTCGACCTTTCACTGAGTTATGACTTGTATCTTATCATCATCATTTTTGCTTCCTCCATGGAGATTTTTCTCCCTGTCCCTCTCTCTCTCTCTGTGTTCAACCAGAGGCATTGCACGCAACTGCTTTTATTTAACAATCATGTCACCTTTCAACATTCGATCCTAAGACTGCATTTTTATTTTTAATGATGTCCATATAAATGTAATCTTGATATCCTTTAATATTGATTTTTGTTTTTTTGTTTTTTCCTTTTACATGGAGCCAACTTGTATCCATATTGCTAAATAATACTACATCTGGTTATTAATATAATGGCTCCTTAACTAATTTAATTTACATAAATTGAAAAAAGAGACAAATTAGTCATTTATAACTCAACATCATTGAAATATTTATGTACAACATTAGATTTTATATCAATTTACAAGTTACGTAAATTAGTTTCAAAAAACAATAAACATGAACAACAAAATAAATTGATGTATTCTATTTAAAACTAAATATAACTCCATCTAACTCTTATCTCAGAGATCAGACGGAGTTTTTCGGATGATTCTATGAAAAATGGAGGATTTGAATATTACAGGAAATTTAGAAGCCTCAAGAATTCCATGGCATTAGTCAGTCCAAGGGGTAAAAAAAACAAAAGGAAAAGAACGTGCAAAGAGTACCATAATGTGTTTGAAGTGGAAAAGCTAGAGTTGCCATCATTTTTTTCTTTTTTTGCGCTTAATAAAAACCTTGTCAAGTTGAATATCAAACTGATGGATAAGCCGACGGGGTATACCAGAATCCAGAAAATGCCCTGGAATGGAAATTTATTTCTGTGCGCGTCTGACCCGCGTCCAGATCTCTATCGTCTTACTATTTTTCTCAATTTATTCGACCTCTGCTATCCTTTTACATTTTAACCTTCTCTCTATTCCGGGGGTAACATTTTTCAATCATTTAGGAAATTAAGAAATAGGAAAAATATATATACTTTTATACTGCTTCCAGTCTTTAATATAAAATCTTATTTGATTTTTGTTTTGGTCCTAAATATAAGACCCAATCCATTTTTGTCTCTCATATTTATTTATTTTTTCCTAAAATAGTCATTCTAATAATAATATTTCTAACCAACAAACTTGATTAGTAAGGATATTTTATAAAAGACAATACTTATTTATTACAAATAATTAATTTAATTTGTTTTTTTAATCTATTTAAATAAGTCAATTAGTTCTTATATTTAGAAGTGAATGTAGTATATCATTATATATAATTTAACATAAAGTCGGTATGTCTCGGAGCAGGTGATATTTGTATCAAAATGTATAGTGCACAAGACTGGTTAATAAAAGTCTGCTTTCTTGTCAGACTTAGTAACCCCAGAAAAATACATTTTAAAGAAGAATTCAAACAAATCATTTGGTAAGCAACGTAGTTGCATGAAATGTTGGCTTCCCAGAGAGTTGGAATTGTAGGTCGTTGAAAGTTCGATTACTTTGGCGTGACTAGAAAGGCAAAAGACCGAAGCCTAGTTTTGTAGCGAATTTATATACAGGGAATACAGTGAAAGAGCTCAAATACAAAAATCTTGTCATGAACTAAACATTCTTTTTTTTTTTTTTTACCAGAGAACTAAACATTCATTTCATGAGAGTGGTGAGCTAAAAATCATTCAGTGTAAAAAGTAACAGAGAAATTATCACCTGATCGTGCCTATTAAAACTAGACGTCTGATCCTAATTATAAGAGCTAGCTGACTAATGTGAAAAGATTAAGAAAAGAAGTTAAGTTAAATATTTATTTAAATATTTGTTGTCTTTCCTAAAATATTCTTGATAATCAAGTGTATTGATTAGAACTACTATTATTAGAAGGACTACTTTGAAAAAAAATACATAAATATGAAAGACAAAGTGGATTAGGATTTTATATTTAGGACCAAAATAAAAGTCAAACAAGATTTTATATTAAAAACCGGAGGTAGTATATATTAACAAATTTAGACAACACTTGACTTGCAATAATAATACATTTTTTTAAGGAATTTTTGATTTGGGGTTATGCAATATCTAGGTTTTTATACAATACTTATATCTAAGTTTTTATATTTATTACAACAAATTTTCCAATCACATATGGTAAGTGTACTATTTTTTATTTATTATTATTTAATTATAAATTCACATAAAATAAAATAAAATACATAGTCATATGTGATTAGAGAATTTGACATTATGAATGTAAAAAACTTGATCTAAATATTTTCTTATGATTACTACTTTTTTTTATCATAAATGTTAAAGTTAGCTAGGGAGTTAAGTGGAAAAAAAAGTTAGGGAGTTGTGTTTGATAATAAATATAGAATCTTAATTCATGTTATCTCTCATATTTATTATTTTTTCTGACTTTGCATAGAGACATTTTAAGGAGCTTGTCATATTTTAGGGTAGAGCGGTGCTCAATACCAAATCTTTCCAGTGCCTTAAAAAAAAAAATTCAGTATCATAATATTATTTTTCAGATATATCTATTATCCTGATATTATTTTTTTGATTTTTTTTATTATGCATTGAACACCATAAATCATCATAATAAATAAAATTAAGAAAAAACCAGGTTCATAAAAAAAATAATATAAAAGTATCAGATGCATCACAAATAAAATTGAGATATTGGATGCACAAATGACATAGTACTACTATATTCTACGTACTTCACCCTTAAAAATAAGAAATAATTCATTAACATGCAGGGTTCAATGACTATCTAATTTTTTTAAGGCTTCTAAATACTTTTGATTTTTTCAGGTAAAAGTAAAAACGATAAATGTCATTAAAAAAAACGATAAACAATGGTAAATTATAAGTCAATTGTTGTAATAATGTACAAAATATTAAAAAAAATCGTTGGAAAAAGGAAGGAAAAAAATTCAGACAGCCATCCATTTGTAATCATATGTATTAATTTATTAATTATGAATACATGTATATCAAATATCAATATAATTATTCCTTGCACTATTATTTGACAGTGGAAAGAGTATGATTTTAAAATTAGCGATATTTCTCCCTCCAAATGCCATAGGGACACTTTCCGGGAGGGCTTGTATGCATGCCCTTCTTTCATTGATTCTTCCATTCCGTCCACTTCAGAGGCAACTAGCTTCTGCAGGAAGGCTTCTATTGATTCTTCTCAACATTTTATTTTCAAATATATTCCTAAAGAATAACCAGAAGAATTACAATAAGGAGCTTGAAAGAATGTTGGGCCTAATGGAATCGCAGTCTGTGCTTCTCTGGAACAGTTTGCCGATTCCCCTGAAACCGGCGACGACGATCTCCACTTCCTTTGCTCCAGCCCTAACTCCTCGAAGACGTCTAACGACTTCGGCATCAGCCATCTCATCGGAGTTAACTTCGAAACCAGAGACATCCAAGTCGATCCCAGCCACATCATCTGCAAAGTCATTTGTCTCGACTACTCCGCTCATTCATGCGGTGAAAAATCTAGGGTTTCGACCCACTCCAAAACTGGGGCTTCTGTCTCTCTTGTTTTCACTCTCCATGGTACTGTTATTTTAACCCTCTCTGTTTATTTGTTACTGACTTTGGTATTCAAAACAGAGTTTGGAAGCATATTTTTGCATATGAAACTTGAATTAGTTTCTCATGGTCATTTCTTCTCATTATCAGTTTGTCTTTTTGGTGTTTTGGTGGTAGGCTTTTGGTGCATTCTTTTCAGTGGCTTTGGTATCTGTTCCAACTGTAATTGTAAGTTCAAAAGGATTTCTATTCAGTGTTGTGAGCAAAGAATTAAGTTTTCATCTGTTTTAGCACATCTATAGCACATGTTTAGAATGGCTGGCATTTATTGGTGAGTTTTCATGCCATGCGCAGGCTTTTGGAAGATTAGGAGCTTCAATGAAAAAATTGTCTAAAGTTGCCTCAGAAGAGGTACCGGGAACTTTATCTTCTCTCAAACTTTCTAGTATGGAGGTGAACGACTTAGCTCAAGAACTTAGAAATCTCAGGTGATACTTCTCGAGTTCCTTTGTTCGTTATAAGTTGGTATAGATGTACAGTTTAAGCCTTTTCTGTCAGTCTATCTCTGATGGTGCGATGTCTTCCCTTCGTTTCAAGGCATGAAATTTCTGGAATTCGCACGGTAGAGAATGACAGAGACACTAGAGATGCAAGATCCTTCCGGAACAAGGACTCAATATCCTAATTCTGAATATCCCCAATTGCCTAGATAACCACTACGTTCTCCTGCACACCCCAACCAAAAAAAAAAAAAACTATATCTCTGAACTTACCGCCATGTGGGAATTGCTGAATGCTTGTCAGGCCTGTTCGTTCATCTGGTTCAGTTGAAAATGAAGCAGCTAGTGAACTCAAATTAAAGGAAACCATTGGTTCTTTTGAGTTTGGTGCTGTAATTGCAAAATGCTGAGAAAAGCTGATCGTGTATAGTGTTTCTTTTCGTAGTGGGATTAGTTTCCACGCTTCTCCTGAACCTTTAATTGCAAGATGTTTCATTATCCATATACATAAATACACGAAAAAAGATATGATCATGTTGTGCATCTCAGGAATTCTTTGTTTTTTTTTTGACTTGATGCAATTCTGGTTACAGAAGACTTGTACTTATTACTCAACAAATCAAACCATATGAATATTCACAGTTTTGCATACTTCTTGAGAGCTTTGTCAGCATCTTTTGCATGATCTGGGACTGGCATGTTGCTTAGAAGAGTAACCCTAGACGATGATACCAAGGATCTATTTTGAGAGTTTGAAGGATCTATCTTCCAAATTCTCACTTCCCATACCTGCTTCAAAATAGAGTAAAATTTGATGAGCAGGGTCTGTTTATGACGTTTGAATAGAGCAACATATGACTTCTATGTTGTAGAATTTAACCAACATGTAATTGCTCGTTATGGGGCATGTAGTTCCTAATCCAGTGAACATTTTCTCCTAAGAGTAAGAAGGTATGGTGTGATGCCCAGTGCCACATCGAGGGAAAATGAAACGGATAGTGTTTTCAATCCTTCTTAAGCTAACGATACTAAGCTGCCAAATAGCTGCAGATTAAAACTGAAACAGCCAATTAATTGATTGTTCACTTGAAACCAAACTCAAACTTTAACATTGGGGTGAGCTTGATTACTGTATTGGTTCAATTCTCTATCTGCTGGTTTATGTGTAGTAAAGTAGAAAACATTCTATGCTAATTTAAATATATGATGACCAGAGCACTTCCAACTTCACCGAATAGGAAAACTCAAGCACAAAAAAAGAAATGCTGAGGCGATATCAATCATGTTTAGCCGGAAAAATGTTCATATACTGACGAAAGAGGTTGGAATTTTCAATTTTTTAGTAATAGTTTTTCTTCTCAACTCTCAAGTTATTCGGCAGATCTCCAAGCAGTTTCTTTCAACAACTGGTCAAATGAACAGATTAATAACGATTTGGTCACGAGGCAGAGACGGAAACCAGAATGTGGCTATGTCGATTGTTGAGATGATAACAGTTTAGGGACAGAGGTTCTATGAGTAAAGAATGGAAACACTTGCATCCATTTATCTCTCTCTTCTTTTTTGGGGCCGGGGGGGGTGGGGTGGGGTTGCTATTTATAATTCTACGGTTTTCTTAAGTCGATCCATTTCATTAGCAGTGGCGGACTAAGCCAGATTAATGGCCTTGGCTCTGTGTGAAATCAGGCTTTACAGGAATAAGGTGATGTTCAACAGCTAAGTGCTGACAACATATGAGCCTGCTATGAATTTCACTACATCAGAATCAAGTTGCTTGGATGCAGGATAAGGAAGTTGTGGCAACAGGTACAGCAGATGGAATTCGGAGTAATGATTAAAGGGAGGGAGGATGTTGGAGGATAAATGATCGACTGTTCTTAATGGAAGAGGAGGCCAAAAAAACCAGAATTGTGCAAGGTCATTATTGGTCTATATGGTTCCAAGGTGATTTGGTCACGAAATGGGAATGAGAGGATATAAAATGGTAGGACTAAATCGCGTTTAATTCTTGATGGCTAACAGCAGAGCATCAGCTTATGGCGTGGGTAATGTATGAAGGAATTAAAGGTTTATTAGTTTATACCCATAATGTTGTGATTCTGTGATGTTTTTATTGATACCAGAAAGCTCATAAACTGAACCTTTGTGCATGGAAGGAACTAAGAGAGACAAAGATGCAATGTGAAAGAGGAAGGAAGACCTGGATGCTCTTGCCAACATGAAGAGGGGTGGCTTCAGCATGGACCAAGTCACCCAGCTCGGCGCGTCTGAGATGGTTGATGCTGAGCTGAACTCCGGCCACTCTTTTGAAACCAGAAGCCATGTGAGCTCCCATGCTTGCCAGGCCCTCTGCGATCATGGCCGACACCCCTCCATGTAAAACCTTGAACGGCTAAATTCGGTAACCACAAACATTGAGATTTCAGTAAATCAAGCGCAGAAGAAAGAAGGGGAAATTGGGAAAGAAGAAAAGTTGGGGGTTGACCTGGCAGCACTTATGAGTCACAGGGAGGCTGCCGGCCACCCTGTGGGGCGAGACGTCTTCAATCTCGAAGCCAATTGCGTGAAGAGGAGCATCCAAATCTGCGGTCTTTGATGATGAAGAGGCTTCGTCCTCCATTGAAAGAGCTGGGGCCTTGGAAGATGGAAAATGTTTGGTGAAGTCTAAGTGTTGAAGCGTTATAGGAAGTCGTTGATGGAGAGGGTATTTCGGACCATTCGTGAGAAGGAATGGTGGGTGGGTGCCACTGGTTGGGTAGGTGGCTGAAGGAAGATGAGGTGGTGATGGTCGATTCTCAATTCAATTCCACCTCCAAGCAAATTCCCTTTAAGCACTGTTTCTGCTTTCTATTGTAAAGAACAGACACGTGCCTTTTTGTCTTCATTCATATTGATGCTAAATTTTACTTGCTGCCTCTCTGTCTTTGCTCATATCCAGATATTCTACTTTAACCTTCTTTTTTTTTTTTTTTTTTCCTTTCACGTGTTGAATCAATTTCGTTCCCCTCCTACTTATGATGCCAAAATCCTGTTAAATGGCTCGTCAAAAAAAAAAAATCCTGTTAAATGGTCATCCTTGTGATCTTTTTCTCGATTCAAAATTAACTTTGCTAACATCTTAAAACATAAAAATTTATCAGGAAATCCTTCAAATTTTATATTATTTATCACATGAAATTTTAAAATACATATATAATTCAAAATATTTTTTATTAAACAATTTTTGAAGATATCAATTTTATCCTTGAAATGGGGAGCATGTGAACTGAGTTTGACCGGGTCGAATATCAACCTGGGGCCCGGTCCAGTGTTTTTAGTCTTGTACTCCTCATCTGGTGGGGGCTGGACTAACTTGGGCTAAAATCGAGCAAGTCGAGTCCAGTCCTTGATGGGCTGGGTCATGGGGTCCGCTGAAGTTCTCTCTCACTCCTTTATGCTCGGATGGCCCAATACAAACGTACTCCTTTTGTTGTTCTGTTCTCTGGCCCAGCCCACGGCCCATCAAAGGAAAGCAAGCAGGCTCATCATCTATCAAACTGCCTTTGGAACAATGCACACCCCACAATCCTTCATCTCTAATTATTATTCCCCTTTTTGCTAACCCCACAGTCCCTAATTACCCAGCAGGGTTTTAAAATCCTAGTTGGTCCTAAATACAGAGCAAAGATATGGTAATTGATTTTTCGGAGAAAAAAAAAATATTGCTCATCCTTAATAGCATCAAGTTGTTGGCATGATTTTAATTTCTCAACACATTTTATTGTGATAATAATTTTAGTGAATTTGTTTTTGTAAGTTTAGGAATATTGATGACCACCCCCCCCCCCCAAATCATGAAGCCAGTTAATAATGGGATAAAGTACATTTCTACGTAACAGGGAAAAAATCTTAGACCGACCGACCGGGGGGAATTATATACGTTACGTAGGGAAGTCAGATTCAATATAGTAGTATATCCATCCAAACAGTGAATAATGTTTCATCTTGTTGACTACAACTGACAGCATATTAGTGGTGAAAAAAATAGATAATATATTGAAAGATGGAGAAGGAAGCACAAATTGAACCCTAAGATATGCTTCCATGAAGCTCAGTAGTAAATAAAACTGAATAAATTAAAATAAATAAGGAATTATGTTGTCAAGTAATTGTTATTGGAATTATTAGCCAAATGAATTTTCATTATCACTCACCACATAAACTCGATGAAGCAGACATTCACATTCACGCAAGCAAGGATCCGTATCGAGTTTGAATTCACTTGTAAATCTTCAACGGTATATAAATTAAAAAAGTTACTTTCCACATTACAAAAAGGGCTATTCAAAAATATATCTCGGAAAGTCTCTCAGATTCTGAAAAATTAGAAATGAAGTCCAGAAATATCTAAAGCACTTCTCAGTACACTAATTAAAAATGAATTCCAAAAATTGACATAGCTATCCTTAATATAGCGTCTACTTAACTAATTTGTTAAATTAAAAAATTAGTTAAATTAATTATTTGTTAAATATATGTATCAATTTTTTTAAAATACTCTCTTAAATCATTTGTATTCTTATATTTAGAACTAAATTCAACTCTTCTAGTATCTTTTATATTAGAGATCGCATATGTATTTTAAATGGAGAGAAACCCATAAAAGATCAGGAAATTTGTAGAGAGAAACACATGATATGTGACATCTGAATATTAAATAATTTTGTGTAATAAATCATAAAAGTGTGTTCATAATCATCTAAGGAAGATTACGAAATCCCAAGTGGCTTTAATTAAATATATAGTTACATGGTGGGAAAAAGGAAGATAATCATCATCGCCACCTTTTTTGAATTATGATTAAAACCCACAAATACAAATACATGTATGAACCTAACTTTTATAGATATACGCCTAACAGTATCTTAACTTTTCTTTTGTTTTTTTTTTAAATTAAGATCGTCCCTAAATAAAGGGCTTTTATGAAGTGCATAAAGAACAGCAACACGATTCCCCAATCTCACAACCAACAAAGGCACACATTTGTTTAGGCCAACATATTGACATATAAAATTGAAAATGAAAAAAGTGAGGAGAAGGAATTGTTAAATACATACCCCTCTAATCCTAATTTATAAGGTAAAGATAAAATTTTTCTTATTTTTATTTATAAATCAACCCATTAAATTTTTCTAACATAAATATATTATTATATCTTTTATTTATTATAGTATGGGTGGTTTTTTTTTTAAAAAAAATGTATATATTAAATCAGAGTAAAATTAAAAAGTTGTTAAAAATTTTAAGACAGAGTTAATGAGCAGTTTAAGATTTTTTTTTTTAATCTATAAACAAAATTAAAGGAGTACATATATAGACATAAGATAATGCGATAAAATGAAACGTACATGAGGTACATAATAAAGGAAGACAGCTTGAAGGCACTGTGTGTTGGAATAGGAATTTCTGGGAAGATCACAGTCTCTCACCACCTTCACCACAAACTGACACTTCTCTATGTGTATATCTAGAAACCTAGCTTCCTTCTTTGCAAAGATCACCCAAAAAAACCAATATACTAACAATGTAGAGCTGGAAAAGTGGTTCATTTCTATATATACAAGAGGGGGAAAGCAAAACCACAAAAGCTTTGCTTTGCATTTTGTTCTTGT